GTCCCCAGTGCCAGCACAGACTCGGGGAAGGCTGGAGAGATGAAGGGATGGATGGAGAACACCCTGCAGAGAAGGACTGGACGATTCTGGGGAGTGACAAATGGGACTTGACCCAGCCATGGGCAGTGGCAGCACAGAAAGCCAAATGTCTCCTGGGCTCATCCTCAGCAATATGGGCAGCAGAGGAGGGAGGGGATGTTCCCCCTCTGCTCCACTCTCCTGAGACAGCCTGGAGCTGCCTCCAGCTCTGGGGTCCCAGCACAGGACAGTGGTGTTGAACTGAGGGTGGAGTCAGGTTGGATATAGGGAATAAATGTCAGACCATGAGGGGCTGGCACAGGGTGCCCAGAGAAGCTGTGGTTGCCCCATCCCTGGAAATGTTTAAGGCCAGACTGGACCAGGCTTGGAGCAGCCTGGTGTAGTGGAAGGTGTCCCTGCCCACAGCAGGGGGTTCGAATGAGAAGAGCTTTAAGGTTCCTTCCAGTCCAAGCCACTCTGTGATTTTATCCCTATTTCAGGCCAGACTGCCTGAGCAGGGGCAGCTCCCAGCTCATAAAGGCTGCAGATGAAGGGTGAGAGCAGAAGATGAACAGGGAGGATATGCTGCTTTTGTTTTCTGTGTCCAGGGCATGCCCAGACACCTTTTCCCAGATCCCAGAGCCCCTGCTCTGCTGGGGCTACACTTGCTTCACCTTCCAAGTCTGATGAAGTGTGGCCTGTCTCTGATTTCCCATCCGAGGGAAGCTGGGAGAGGGAAGGAGCAATGAGAAGACAGGAGAACAAAGTCACCCTCACCTGTCCTCTCCACTGCTCCTCCCAAAGGAGCATCACAGTCCTGAGCCTGCAGCCTCCAACACAGCACTGCAGCAACTCCTTGTTTTCAAGAAAACCTCCTCCCTGCCCTGGTGGGACCAGGCACCACAGGAAAGTAGCCCCAGAAAACCACTGTACAGTGGGAAGGGGAGCTGAGAGAGCACAGAAAGCCGTGTCTGAGAGGGGCAGCTCCAGCAGGAACCAGCCCCAGCTTTGCTTTACCAGCAGCACCAGAGCAGCAGCTCCTTGGAGCACCCTGGGCTTCCCACTGGGATACACTCCCAAAGGAGCTGCTGAGAGGTGAGGTTGTGCTTACAGGAGAGCACAGAGCCAGCTCAGAGGGATCCAGCCAGCACCTCAGCACCCAGACAGCTCCAAATTGGTTTTTTTACACAGGCCAGTGCTACCTCAACAGCATCAGACAGAAGTGAGCAGCTACAGCTTGTCTCCTTGCCTGCCTGACACATCTCTCCACCAGAAAATGGTCTGCTAGGAATAATAGGGGCCACTCTCCAAGGAACTCCCAGCAGCCAGAAAGACTGAACAAAGTCACCTGTGCCTGGTGTCAAACACCACCACCCTGAGCCTGCACAGCTACAATGATGAAGCCAGAAGTCAAGTATCCACGGAAGTGAACCTCTCCTGTCCTGGTGCAGCTGTCATGGACCTGCTTCCAGGTCTGAAATATTTACTGGGTCTCCCGAAGCCTGCAGAGATGGGCTGAGCTGACAGGCTGAGAGACACAACTTGGGATCTGAAGATTTCTGTTCCCAGAGGCAATTCATGGAGCAAACAGCCTTGGTTACATAACACTCTGCTGGAGAGGCGTGGAGCACGGCCACTGGAGGGATGCAATGCTCAGAGAGGAGAAATGGCAGAGAAGCCCTTCCTGACCACTCCAGGAAAACTACAAATGTGATTTCATTCCTTGCTGGCTGGAATGCCACCCAAAGCCATCTCCTCTGGGGTGTGGCCTGGATCAAGGAGGAGCAGCTGATTCCAGCGCCAGGAGCAACAACAGTCACAGCACTCACTGGGAAGGATTTTAGGAATGGTTTTACCAGGAGCTGTGACTCAAATCTGGAGTAGCACAGCGATGGCCCCAACCCAAGGAGGAACACAGCCCCTCAGCTTTTCCAAGCCCACCCCAGTGCCACCATGACTCTGCCCAGCTGGGTGGGGAGACCTTCCCAGTGCCCCTGCAGCCAGACCCAAACCTGCTGGGGCTGCAGGCTCTCACCTCACTGGCTCAGTGCAAAACCAGCCAGCTGCCCACCCACTGGGCTCCAAAATAAGCCCAGGCAGCAGTGGCAAGCCAGATCCAAACCAGTCTGTGCAGCCAGAAGAGGGATCAGCAGGAAGGGAGGGAGGGAGGGATGAGCCCTTCCATGAGACACGGATCCTGCCCCTCCACACAGCAGGCAGGTGGGTAAATCCAGGTCTCACACGAACACTGGACCTCACTTTCTCCTGCAAACAAACAACACCAAGGGCTTGCATCTGCCTAAGCAGAGCCACTTAAAAATCAGATTCCAGTGGGATTGTGCCCATGGAGTACCTCTTCTGCTATTACTGACCCTGAGAAAGCAGCTATTCACCAGCAGCTACTACACATCTCTCCATCCATCCCTCCACTCAGCATTCCAACAGCAATGCCCATCACTGCCCATACATTTCCCAGACTACTAGCCCAGCTCTGTCCCAGCCTAAAGCCCCACTCCAGAGTCCTCCAGGAGGCCTTGCTGGTGATGTTTAAGGAGTTTGTATCTCTGACAGAGAAGCTACACCCACACCAGACCAAGCTGCACAGCACATGTGCCTCCAGACAAGGATGAGGAGTCTGTGACATTCTCTTGTTTCCTGGAGGAACATTTCCCATCATCTTGCAGTGAAAGTTCCACATGACACTGAAGTACTTGGAGATCACTAAGAAATAAGCAAGGTGCTGTTCCAGAGGGGACAAGCAGCATCCCAAATCCCTGCAGAGAGCAACATCTTGCCCTGATGGCCATACTAGGTGTCACTCCTTGCCATGTTAAACTGCAAACCACAGTGAGCACATCCCAAAATCAGCCTCTCACAACCTACATTTTAGTATGCTTTGGCTCCATCCCCATACCTTATGGGAACTGGTTTCTGAATTTCCAAATTAATCTCAATAAATTCACAGCCCAGGGTTACAAATAGCCTTTGCATTAATGAGCAGGTTCTCTGTGGGTTCAGGAACACAGGAGGGTGGAGATGAGGCTGCCAGCACAGGCAGAGCAGGCCCAGAGGTGGCCACCAAAATGATCCAAGGGCTGGGACAAGGGGCAGTGAGGTCAGATCGGATATGAGGAAGAAATGTCAGACTTTGAGGGTGGTGAGGGGCTGAAAAATCCAGAGAAGTTGTGGCTGCCCCATCCTCGGAGTGCTCAAGGGCACACGGGACAGGGCTTGGAGCAAGTGTTTCACTGCTGTAGGTTTAAGGTGTCCCCCACATGGCAGGGATGTGGAACTGGACATCTCTGAAGGTCCTTTCCACCCCAAAGCACTCTGTGATTCTGAGTCTTTCCACTGCTGAGCCCTACCACACCTCCCGAACACACCACAATGCTACAAATCACTCATTTCAGATTAATGTGTGGGCTCCTCTCTTCCTGTCCACATGATTCTGTTATGACAAAGAATTCTCCACAGTACCACGGCAAAGTAACATAAAACAAAACCAGAAGCACTTCCAGTGTCCTGCGTGCTTCTGGAAGTCATGGGAATGTCACCACATCTTGTTCACTGCAGATCTCAGACCTTTAAATAGATTATTATGCTTTTAGGCCATGAGTGCCCTTTGCAGCCCCAAGTGGAGCCCATGCCACTGCAGCAGCCAGGAGCACAGCAGCTCTTCTGTGAACACCCCAAAACAGGAACACTGCAACATCTTACAGTGAAAGCACAAGAGCCTGGAGGATGACTGAGCCTGAGACATGTGAATTCCTTGAGAAAATCCCCTGCTTCCAGACTTGGCCAAGGAAATTTTAGCTGAGGAGCAGCTGCCAGGAGAGGGGAGCCTGAGACAATTTAGGAAGGGGCAGTCCTTTAAAAAAATTACAATGTCTACTGATTTGACATAGGGCTGGATGCAGGACAATGTGTGTGAGGGCACCCTCCTGGGACCTCTAGGCACAATGCCACAAGCAGACATGGAACTGCACTGGGCAAATGAGAAGTGGATGGGAAGAGGGCAGATGACCTGGTCTCAGCTTTCCAGACTCTAGGCACTGGGAGCACAAGCAGTGCTCAGCCCATGGAATGCCAAAATGAGGGCTGCCAATGGCCTGGAGCCATCCTGCAGGATCAGACCTGCAGCATCCAACACCCCTGTGAAACCAGCATCAGGAGACAGCTGGGCTCAGTGTTACACTGAAGGTGAGGCTTGGAGCAGCAGAGCTGTTCCAGTGCTGCCCCACAGCAGGTGAGCCTGGGCAGGGCCCAGCCCCACTCTGCAGAGCCCAGCCCTGCTCTCCCTACACAGTCCAGCCCTTGGATCCACCTGTTCCACAATAAGGGCTTTGCAGACACTGAAGCTGGAAAAGCTCTGCTGACCTCACCACCCTCACAGGCTCTGGCTCCCCTGGGAGAGCACTGCTCCCACCTGGGAACGGGGAACCACAGCACACACAGCTCTAACTCTGCCCAGACACCCAAATGCTGCCACCTCTTGGGTGCTCAAATCCCTTACTCCAGCTCCTGGCAGCAAACCTCTTCTCTGGAAGACAAGGCTGGTGAAGAAAGAGGTCTGGAACTCTTTGACCAGCCAGCAACAGATTGTCCCCAGGACAGAGATGCAAGGTCCCAACTGCCCACCTCTGGCTCAAAGAGGAGCCATAACATTTCTGGGCCCAAGGAGGTGACATTTGCTCTGTTCTGCCTTATCCACAGACTTTCCCAGGCAGCCCAGGGCAAGACAACAGCCAACCACCACAAAAACAGCCACTTGTCCTTCCCAGCCTCCACACTGCCCCATCCTTCCAGAAATTCCCCTCTGGCAGCCTCACTGGACTCTCACCACCTCTCCATGTCTCAAAGCCACCAGTCACCAGGCAAGTCCAAGCCCTCCCTCACCATGCAGCCATGGCCACCTGCAGTCACAGGGGACTGTGCCTGGCTCCACGTGCCCACAGGACACGCAGAGCTCCGGGCTCACTCACTTTCATCAGGGTTGGGTGAAGCGAGAATGGCGCTGTGCTTCCTTTTCACTTCTTCCACATTCTCCGAAATTTTATCAATAAAGCCTCGAATTTCTTCCACCTGTGCAGTGAGACAAAACAGGTCTCTGAGACAGACTGACTTTTGGAAAGTGAAGGGATTATTATACCCTATTCCAAAGCAACCATGACAAACATCCTCCTGGATAAATATTTTCCAGCTTGAAACTATAGCAGCACTGTGGAATCAGGCCTTCTCCATCCCACCAGCCAGCTCTGAGTCACAGCAGTGTAATACAGACTCTGTGTCCTGTATTCTTTGTGATACACTGAGAAACTTTTGGGATTTATATAAATCAGCATCAGATTGATTCCCAGACTCTGGCAGAACACTGCTGAGACTGCACAAGCCAGGCTGGTAGCAGCTCAGTTCCCCATGGCTCCTTGCTTCATAAAAAGCTCCAGAAATGCCCAATTTGATTCTCATTCCCCCCATTCCAGGGAGGCCACATTTTCCAAAAGATTCATTCTGGTATTTTCTCTGCACTTCTGTGCTACAGGAAGACACCAGCATCTCCCAAGAGGGGAAACCTCTCCTGTGTTCTCTGCCTGCCAGGCTGCTTACCCTCTAACTCAGTCTTCTCCTTCGGCTCACACCACTCCTTTGCTCATCTTCCTCCACCTGCACATCAGATTTATCCCAGTTCCCACTCCATTGCCTGCACAGATCCATTTTAACACCCCCCACACACATGCCATGCTAAGGGTGTGCTAAAAATCCGCAAGCAGATCTTACAGCCACCCACATGCCAGAAGACAACCTCTTGTTTGGGAACGGGAGGCACAAAATTAAATCAATCCCATGCAGAGACTGCTGCTCTGCAGAGGTGCTCTGGGGAAAGGCCTGAGAGCTGCATGTGAGGCTTCCCTGCTCCCACCGCCTGGGCAACAGCCTCACTGGGTTCTGGAGGAGCAGGGGGAGCAGGAGAACATCCATAGGGCAGCACAGCCCCGGGTCTGCAGGGAAGCCAGGCTCCTGATGTTCAGCACTCAGCATAACCCTGAGCATCAGCTGAGCAGCACCAGCCAGGGCAGGACCTTCATCCCATCCCCAGTGGCCACGGGAAGCCTGGACCGAGCACAACCCATCCTGGTGCCAGCAGAAAGGTCTGAACCAGCTTCAAAGCTGCACTGGAGGAACAAACCTCTCACCTGCTCAAAGAACTCATCCATGAAACGATCCCGGTCCACACTGACGGTGACTTCATCATCATCATCACTGTCCTTTGCCTGCAACAACACAGAGAGAGAGAGAAGCATCAACGAGTGCTTGCTGCAGAGTTCACAGCTCTATTTCAGGAGCTCCTCTGAGGCATCTTCCCCTTCTCCAGTGCTCACTTGCTCCAAGAGCTGGGGCAAACACTAGCCAGAGTGTGGAACACCTCAGGCACTGTCACTCCAAGCCCCCAGGACTCTGAGAGAGCAGAGAACAGACACACCCAGCAGTGAGGGACAGCCAAAACACCTTGGCAGCCAGTGCTCCATGGCACAGCCTCTGCAGCGAGCATGGGACACAGCTAAGGACACCCCACATCCATGGAGTGGGAGCTTCAAGGGCCCCCTCAGCCCTGTGTGAGCACACTGGCTCTGCAAGGAGCAGGAATGGGAAACAGCATGGATTCCACCATGGGAAACACCAGGATGCTGCAATGGAAAAGCATGAGGGATGTTGAGACTGGGAAAGCACAAGGGATGCTGCCATGGGAAAGCACGAGGGATGCTGTGATGGGAAAACACGAGGGATGCTGTGATGGGAAAACACGAGGGATGCTGCCATGGGAAACACAAGGAATGCTGCCACAGGAGAAAGCATGGGCGATGGCGTGATGGGAAAACACGAGGGATGCTGTAATGGGAAACATGAGGGATGCTGTCACAGGAAACACAAGGAATGCTGCCACAGGAAAGCAGGAGGGAAGCTGCAACGGGAAAACATGAGGAATGCCATATTAGGAAAACATAAGGAGTGCCATGATGGTAAAAACAAGGGATGCTGCCACGGGAAAGCACGAGGGATGCTGCCATGGGAAAGCACGAAGGAAGCTGCGATGGGAAACACAAGGGATGCCGTGATGGGAAAATAAAAGGAGTACTGCAGAGTGCAGGAAAGGTGGGAGCAAACAGATAATACAGCAGAACTAGTAAAGTCACAGCAGGCAAATGAGGGGTTGTCCTTGTCTGTAGAAGCATGTGTGTCATTGTCAACAGAGATGAAAACACCTCCTGTCCCAGCAAGGCGGGGGATGCAAGCTCTCAAGGGAAGGAAAAATTACAGTCCTCCACATAAGGAGACATTTAAAATATTATTATCCAAAGCAGTTACATGACGGAGGGAAATGGAAAATTAACAGGCTGGAAAAGTTTCTTCTTACTCCATCTTTACAAGAGAGAAGAAGCCAGTGAAATGGAGATTTAAGACAGGACTGCCCCTGCTCATCCCATGATGACTGCAGTTTTTGCAGACAGACACACAACATCCCATGGCTCCCCTGCAGAGAGGTAGCCACTAGAGCCTCCAGAGAGAGCCCTCTTACATTGAAAAAAGCCAGATTAAATATCTATCCTACTCGCTAAAATTGTCTTTCCACCCTACAGTGACTGATTTGGGCTGTATCATCCAGAATCCTCAGCTTTCAACCTTGTCGCCACTTGTGGCACTTTTTGCCTGGGTAATTCACTCATGCACAGTTATCTCATTCATGGTTATCCAGAGCCCTTGTGATCAGAGAGCTCCCACAATTCTGGTGAAAATCTCATCCTCACAAGGAAAAGCAAGCATGGTTCTGTTCTTACCCACCATTCTGTGGGCACAGAAAACTGTGTCCTAAAGTCTCAAATGGTGCTCACAGCCACTCAGGCCAGGAGCTGCCATCCTGGGGATGGGTTGGTACATTTAAATCCCTCCAGTGATGGTGACTCCACCACTGTCCTGCACAGTCTATTCCTGGGTTTGACAATCCCTTCTGTGAAGATGTTTTGCCTAAAATCCAACCTAAACCTTCCCTGGAGCAACTTGGGACCATTTCTACTTGTCTTGTCACATGGTAACTTGGGAAAAGAGCTAGACCCTCACCTGGCTCCACCCTCCTGTCAGGGAGCTGTAGAGAGTTAAGAAGGTTCATCCTCAGCCTCCTTTCCTCCAGGCTGAGCCGCCCCAGTTCCCTCAGCCATTCCTGGTCCTCCAGAGCCTTCCCTTGCTCTCCTCCCTTCTGTGGATATGCTCTAGCCCCTCAATGTCTTGCTTTTAGAGGGGCCCAAAACTGACCCCATGATTTGAGATGCCTCAGGAGTGCCCAGCCCAGGGGATGGTCACTGTCCTGCTCCCACTGGCTACTTAGGAGCTGGGGCTGGACAGTCCCTGCAGCAGGCACTGCTTTCTGCATCAGGCAGGGCCAGCTTTTCTCCTGAAGCTTTTTGCTTCCAAAATTCTGCAGTTTGCTCACACGGGGTCCACAGCACCTCTCCCATTCCCTTCAGCAGTCACAGTCTGGCACTGAGAGCCAGGGCACTGCTCAGGCTTTGGGCAAAGCTGGATATATGACCACATCCAACACTTCCCACCTTCCCTGGAGCCAAAGGCAGGATTTGGCTGCAGGCTCTTTTAAATCCTCCCTGCAGCCAGTGCCACCAGACAGCCCAGTCCCTCCCCCTGTCCCCTGCCATCACTGCTCCAGCCTTGCTCAAAGCCATCTGAGCACAGTGACAGCTGTCACCCTCCGGTCCCGACCCCGGTGCTAACTGTGCCATTCCTTCAGCCAGCAGCAAGCCTGGCTGTAAGCTCAGGTCCCCTTGGGTCAACAACCGGCTCCAGAGCAATGCCCACATAGGCTCGATTGCTCCCAGAGCATCCCAAGCACTCCCCCAGCACCCACAGCACATGGGAGGAAGGCTCACCATCGAGGAGGTCACACAGAACCATGTCCTAAAGCTAAGAATGTGTGGACAGATCTCTGCTATAGAGATACAGGTGCCATCCATGTTCACATTCCACTTTACATATCACACATGCCTGCTAGGTTAGTGCTGTGCTTGATTTTAAGCACAACAGCTTTTAAGCATCACACACTTTGGTGGGTGGTTCCAAGAGCCCACTGGATGAGCAATTACAACAGAGACCCCCACCTACACCCCCAGGATCATGGAAAACGCCAACAGATCCTGGGGACACACGAGTGAGTGATGGAAGATGCAGCTGCCAATGCAAACACCACCCTGGATGCTTGTTGCCAGGTCAGGGGATCTTTCTTCCCCCACCCTGCTAAGCCTCTCCATGTCAGGGACGAGGACATCCACACCAGCCCCACAGCTGGAGGGGCACACACCCTGCCTGTAGCTCCTGCCACCTCACCATCCAACAGGATGGTCATCTACAGGAAGGAGTCAAAGGAAAGGGGATTCTGGTGGGTGACAAATGGGACTTGACCTAGCCACGGGCAGTGGCAGCACAGAAAGCCAAATGTCTCCTGGGCTCATCCTCAGCAATATGGGCAGCAGGAGAGGGAGGGGATGTTGCCCCTCTGCTCCACTCTCCTGAGACAGCCTGGAGCTGCCTCCAGCTCTGGGATCCCAGCACAGGACAATGATGTTGAACTGAGGGTGGAGTCAGGCTGGACATGAGGAAGAAATGTCAGTCCATGAGGGAAGGTGGCCCAGAGAAGCAGTGGCTGCCCCATCCTTGAAATGTCCAAGGCCAGGCTGGATGGGGCTGGGATAGTGGAAGGTGTCCCTGCCCATGGCAGGGCGTGGAACTGGATGGGAAGCACCAGTCAGCCCCTGCAGCCCTGTAAAAAAATGCACCTTCAACACAACTTCTCCACAAGCCTATCCGGGTTTTTTTGCATCATTCTGGCAGGACCTCAATTTGCCAGAATTCTGAGCCCCTTTTTGTAGCCTGTGAGCAGAGAATTCCCACTTTTAATTTTAAATGCAGGCTTGTATGGAAACCAGGAAGGCCAGGGACTGGCAGCAGAGGAAGAGCAGCAGGAGAGCAGGGTACCTGCCAAGATACTGCTCTTCTCCTTGTCACCTCTTGCTTGTCCCTTCCACAGGGAAACAGGCCTGGCTCACTGCCCAAAGGATGCCACACCCCAGCCTAGCTGCCATACCCAGAAATCCTGAAGGAAGGGACCCACCACCCACAGAAGGGGTTTCTGCCAAAGCCACACACAGCCTTGTGGGAGGCACTCATGGTTGAGGGTAGACCAGTCCTGGGAGCACAGAGGCTGATGGACAGGCAGAGAGATGTTATTTAGGGCAGGCACTGGACAGGGGAGCGGCACAGAGCCCAGCCAGAAGCCCCATGAAGAGGAAATTACACAGATGGAGCCTGCTGGTCAGGAGGGCACATGTCACTTGTCACTCCGGGCTGGAGAAGGGCACCATCTGTCCAACCCACGTCACTGGAAACACCCTCGGTGCCACACTGCCTCCAACCCCCAGTGTCAGCAGATCAACCCCGGACCTGTCAGGCAGATCATCCCACCCCACCACCCCGAGCCCCTGAGCCAGCAAGCGGCAGCCACGTCCCCTAATGGGTGACTTGGATTGGAACTGGAGGAGATGCCACTGGGAGAACAGCTCATGGGATGCAGGGCTGATGGATCAGCTGTTCCCAGCATTTCCCTCCACTCTGGCCCTCACCGTTCTACCCCAAGCTTGAGGTGTCCCCCCATGATTAATTGTAGTGCAAATATCAGAACGAGACCAAAACTTTCCAAAGGAAACATAAAGCATCACACAGCATCCCAGCATTTTGGCTTCACACATCCCAGCTGTGAGCATCCCAGGTTTCCAATGTCACATGGAAAGCTCCTGTCTCAGCCAAAACTACCTGCAGGTGCTGCTCAGCACAAGCAGCACAATTCCCCAGCCAGGGAACTCACAATGTCAGGCACACCATCCTCCCAGTGCCTCTCCACTTATGCCTCAGGCACTGTCAGGCAGCACCAAGGACCCAGGGTTCGAGGCTTTTCCCCCACACAGGGTCGGTGAGGATAACCTTTCTTTTGCACGGTTTTTATTTTTCCAGTGCACCAGAGGCCAACCAGTGGCACCACATGGGCACTGCCCCAGCAGCTGGGATGGCTCTGGGAACTGCTGCCTCTCTCCAGTGCCGCTGAGCAGTGGGAGCTAAATGGGGAGGGCAGGGCAGTCAGAGCTCCTCCAGCAGCTTTCGGAGCCTCACTGGGTTCAAAGAGCCCTTCACAAGGGCCAAAACCCCAAGTGGAGGCAGAGGCAAACTGTGATAGCATTCCTGACAAAAAGGAGAGCAAATGGGAAGACATCCAGAGCCCTGGAGCATCCTGGCTCGGTAGGTTTTGTAACCAGCACATGCTAATAAATTTATTATTGAGGAAATTACATTCCCGTGGTTCCAACCACCCCATTCCCTCTCCAAGCACTTTCTGAAAGAGGCAAAGGAGCACAGAACACCTGAAAAGACTTGATGCTTACTCCCTCCAAAGAGCAATGGTGGCAGGGTGGGCTGTGCAGGACATAACCAG